ATATTAGTACAAGTACAATTAGTGATATTTTAAATGAAAAAGATAAGTGGCTTTCCATTAACCCAGAATCCTCTGATGCTACCAAGAAAAAAAGGAGAAGCTTGATATATGAAGAAGTTGATCAAGCATTAACTATTTGGACAGAGAAAGCTATTGGTGCAGAGTTAGACATTATTGGTGATATATTGAAAGAAAAGGCAATACACTTTGCCCAACTTCTTGATATTAATGACTTCAAAGAATCAGAAGGATGGTTAACAAAATTCAAGCAAAGACATAATAATATCAAACAGTATACAAAACAAGGTGAAGCTAATAATAAATTTTTTTTTATTTGTTAACTTATAATCATGTGATGATTGACAAAATTCTCTATACTAGTCATATGACATTTCCCTGAGGCTGCTTTTCTATATTAATATGTCATGTTGTTGTGGAGAATTTGAGCTTCAAAGTTGCACAAGTTTACTGAATTTACTATGTTTAGCCCTAAAATGACGCGTTGCACACAAAAAAGTTAATATCAAAAATAGACAAATTGAAACAAAATAAAAATTTGAAAAAATTTCCCTTGTATTGCAGATCTTTTGTCATGTGAATTTTCCAGATGAATGGGAAGAGAATTGTCTTTATTATTAAAAAACATACAAAGAACAGCCAAGTTCATTTATTTTAAATATAATAAATAGACTATTGCATTAATCAAAGAAATATGCAATTTGCAAAATATTCTATCAATTATTTAATAGTTTGTTTGTGTAGGAGTAATCAAAATAAGCTTTAAGGACAAGCAAGATCTATGAACAAAATATACTAGCAAAGGTTTTATCAATCATTCAATAGTTATATAAATTTCTCTTTTATTTTAACTAATATTTAATAACATCACTATAATCATTATTGTTGTTTATTGTTCTAATCATCATTTACATATGTATATATAGGAATAAATGCAAAAGAAAAATTTTAATATATTTATTTAGCACTTTACAATTTTCAAAAATCATGTGACTGTAAAATTTTTATTGCATTTTTGATTGGAAATTTTTTCTCAAAATTGGTGCCATGGCACAGAAAGTTGTAGGTCTAAGTGACTTGCACTATATATCAATCATCTTTTTCTATTAATAAAATTTTTAAGATATCTCTTTAATATAATTTGTAAAAAAAGTAAAATAAAATCAAAAAATAAAATCAATTTTCTTACAACTCAGTTAAGAAAAACATTGATATAAATAATTCTTCATTGTCATCATTTAATCTAATTCGATTTTCCATATGATCTATGATATATTGTTTCACCTTCTTGGATATTTCATAATGATAATCATATTGTAAATCATTCACATGTTTTTTGTAAAATTTTTCAAGAATAGGTTTTTCAAAAATTTCATCATTTGTGAAGTCAACAATGTAAGAATTTATGGAAGCATCATATTCAAACTTCTCTAAATCTTTTTTTGTTAAATTCCCAAAAATCAAATTATAAACATCCACTCCATAATATATCCATTGAAATATTGGTTTTTTGTTCTATGAAAAAGATTGTAAATCAATAAGTGCAATCACACATTAAGCAATAACACATAATTATACATGGGGGATAATTTTTTTGTCAAAAATGTAATACATAATACGAAATATAATTACAAAATTAATTACAGGATATGTAATTATGAAATTAATTACAATTGATGAAATTAATTTCAGGTGACAAAGTTATTCATTATAGATGAAATTGCTTACAAGGTGATGAAATCAATTACTTAGTAGTGATGAAGGTATTCATTGTAGTGTAATATCTAATGATGAACTTAAAAAATACTAGTTACACTAATAGACAAAAAAATGTTTAATTTCATCACCCATAATTATTTGGAAAAAAGTGGTAATTAATTACAAATTACATATTTACAGTAATTAGATAATTACAATCTCATGTATACACAATATAATTTGTATTACCTTTGCATTGTATATAGAAATTATTCTTTGTCTATGTGATTTGACCTTGACTGTATTAATGTCATCATCAGGCATATAATCACTATCACTATCATAAGTGTTTTCTTCAATACCAAAAAAAAATATATACATGTATAGTTACATTATCAGACTATTTAAACTTCAAAATAAAATAAGCCAGTAAATATACTTTTATTGGTAGTTCCTTCAGACTCTTTGTTATTATTGTTCGAATATTTGGAAGATTTGGAAAATATGCCTGATGGATTTGACCTTAAAGTGTGTAAGTTGTTAAAGTATGAGCAAATTATTAAACTAGAGTGATGAGTGGTGGCGATTGTAAAATTAAAATAAAAAGATTGTTATTAGATCGACTTTTGTACACAACTACAGTCAGGACTATTACCATAAATGGATTTATGAAAAACTTACTTTTTATAGTAAACCCTGTTGATCAAGATACTCTAAAAAAGTATATTTTGTGGAATGTGAAACGAAATGTAATAAATTTCTAATAATATATTAATATATTAATAATACTAATACTAACTTTATTATTAAGTTTTGTTGTTATTCATCATATTGGACCTTTTAATCATTTAAATAACAAACAAATCATGCTTTTTGATAATATTATTTTTACTGATAAATGAAATCAAGCTTACCTAGACTTACCACAGTAACATCTAATTTATTCCTCCACAATCTCTGGGTTTCCTACAAAATCACAATTATCAATTTCATTTTCTTCATTTAATAAACTGATATAATCTTCTCTAGCTTTCTTTGCTAGGTTGCTAAGATTTTTCAACTGTTCACTCAATCCATTCTCACCATCTAAGCTTTTATATATAGATGTTGTTTCTTCTGGGTTGATAAAGTTAAGACTTCTTAATTTGGCGCTAAATCTTTCACACTCCATACTTGATTCAGGATGAATTCTTGGAGTATTTAAATTGATTGGTTCACAGCTGGATTTCATTTTAAATTATTGAATTTAAAAATAAAATTTTAAATTTGTTATCTGTTACAATGTAAATATAGTGCAGGACATCTATAACAGTCAATGATTATCACATGATTTTAAAAGCTTATAACTCCTTATTAAAAAAGAAAAAGAAAAAGAAAAAAAGTAAACTGATAGAATTAAAGCTAAAGACCTAAGCTTCATCTCTATCAGTTTACTTTTTTCTTTTTATTAGAAAAGTTTTGAGTTATAAGGCTTCAAAGTTGGACCATTTTATATATGTCTATATGTAAATTGTAAAATTTCAGAATGATCTTCCCTTGTGATCTCTTAAAATGCTGATGATCGGCTTAATTTTTTTTTCGGATACAGAAAATTTTTCCAATAAAAGAAATCTGATTACTTAAATTAAAAAGATTATCTAAAAATTTAAATTTTGGATGGCACAGCATTTGATCAAAGAAAATCATTGCCATATTAAATAAAAAATTTTTTTTTGATCTAATGCTAACGGCAAAATGTCATTAAATAATAAAAAACGAAAGGTTTTAGAAAAGAACAATAATGATGATGATAACTGCACCCAGGAAAAAGAAAATGAAATAATAAAAAAGATCAAAGAGCTTGAACAAGATTTTATAGAAAATAAAACCAACAATGTTAATTTTAACAAACTAATAGATTTCACTGAGGTATTTATTAGTTATGGAATTAGAGGACAAATGATATGGATTTACCTTAGAAATTTCTAAATTAATTTAAATTGTATTATATGGTTTTTGTTATGTATTTGAAAAGAATTATGAAATGCCAAAGATTGTTTACTCTGCCATTCATGCACTATATCGTATTTTCTCACAATTACTTTCCAAAGGTGGTTTGCAAAGGCCCAAGGAAACAGCAGAGAAAGATCAACAAATGATAATTAAATCAGAGTTAAGAGACAATTATATAAGATATATCAACAATTTGTATGGTTTAATTGGACAAGAAGAGCCTGGTTTGCAGGTATCAATCAATCAATCAATCAATCAATCAATCAATCAATATATTATGTTTATATTTCATATGCATTTTATTTTCATGATAATATTGGTTTAATGGTAAATGGGGGAAATATAATTTTATTTAGATTCCATCTTTAAACATTCTATTGGATTTACTTAGAATAGAATCAATATATTACACCAAAGCTTCAGGAGATTTTTATTTTCCAAACAATCAATATTATCGAATTGTTGAAGCACTTATTGACAATGAAAACTTCAATGAACATTTATTAAATGAATTTGTAGAAAAATATTGAAATAGTTATGATGGTTTAAGAT